ACCAATTTGANAATATAAAGTCCACAAAGGACGTATAGAATGAATCCAACATTAAGTTGGATTGGCGAGAATCCAATTTTAAGTTGGAGGGATGGATTCGGTAGTCACTCTCTCATGAAGACGTGATTTATCAATTTTCCATAAAATTCGATTGAAGTTTATTTTTGGAATAAACTTTTACCCTAAGTAAATCATTAGCTCAACCAAATACGAAAAGGATTTATAAGTAATACTATATAAAGGGTGATGGAGAATATTTGTCGTATTATTAATTCTTGAGAAGAAAAACACTTTGTGAAAGTGAGAGTGCAATACAAAGCCAAGAGAGAAATTACAATTACAAGAAAAGTGTTTCTTGTTCTTCTATCTTTGAGTTGAGATTTTTGAGAAAACTTTCAGCACAAGTTTTCCGTTCAATTTGTTCGCGGGTTTCATTGATCAAAGAGTTGATAGCAAAGATCAGTCTCGGTGTGGATACGCATAGAGTCTTCGCACTATCGAAGAAATTTTGAAACGAAACTCTCTTCACCAGGTACGTCTTAGATCTGATCTATTGACATGTAAATAAATTTTAAACATAAAAAGATCTGTCTAGAATTGTTATTGTCTTCCACTGCATGTTACGAACACCTATACACAATCCTTCAATAGCATCAAAAGGGAAATATGTTATAGCTCGTCAAATGATAAAGGAAGGAAAAGGGCGTATTGAAATGAGGCTCTTGGAATTATTCAACTTAGCACGAGTCTACGTAATCAGGGTTAAAAAGCAGTCAGTAGCTCGATTCCTATAGATTATATTTTTATGTAGAATTCAATACGTCTAAATTTTGTCTGCCCCGCCTCTTATTATTCTTGTTCTTGTTGGACCCAAACTATTCAACAACTTGTCAAGAATAATAGTATAAAATTGTTAATTAAAAATTTAAAATGGGGTTTTATCCAACTTGAAGTCAAAAAAGTAGAAAATAAATTAAATAAACAGAAAAAGCAATACGTAAATAGACATTCGGACATAGATTTGGTTAAAATATGAAGAAAAGAATTTTTGAAGTTGCGTTGAAAAATAATTTTTGAAAGTTGAAGTTGTGGACATACATTTTATTTGAAAAAAGTTAAAGTTTTGTGAGTGAAAAAAAAGTTTCACCCCCAAAGCTGGCCCAAACCAGCTTTTGGAACGTGAAATTTTTTCACAAGTTAATCAAATTCCATGAACAAACAATGTTTTTAAATTTTTCTTTTTTTGGGGAAAAAGGTAAAAAAAATTCTATATCCAAACGGGAGTGTTTTCATTGAGAGTTAAGATTTCCAAATTTGAATAGCTGATAAGTGGCTAAGGGGACATTGCTTAATGCTAAGAGCAGTCTATAATTGAGCTTATTTTGGCAAGCTACCAAAGATTGATTGGTGTATGTATTATTCGAATAAAACACAAAGAGTTTTCCAGGAGAAGCAAGAAAATCCCAACTACTTAATTGTTTTGGAGAATGTCTTTTGCATTTGCGGTTTGATTTCGATACATATTCAAGGGTTCATAGATAGTACGGACACTTACTTTTACATGACACTAGCCAAAATTATATAATTAAAAAGGAAGCAATCAAATTGTAAAAAAGGAGTTTCACTGAATTGATAGTTGCATAGAATCTATTTTACTGGCCAAGATTAGCATCATTTGGACCGTTGCATTTGGCCAAGAGTCGGCTATCCATTCTTTATTCAAGGTGAAAAAGAAGTCCATTTTCTCTCTCAGAAATTCCGAATTATTTTTATAATAAGTGACAATTCTCATTTTTCATTAACGCGATTTCCTGAGATTCCTCACAATGAATGTGGTGTTCTATTTCAACATTTCTCTTTTTGAAGGGAAATTAAGCACGACAAATCTATAAAGCATCTATTTTAAGCATGTAAATAATAGCATGTGTTATCTTGTGAATTAGACTCGAGAGAAAAAAAAGATATGAAGATTACAACTACAATGCCAATTCAATAATCTAAATAATAAATTCTTCTTTATATACCGTATAATGAGTACATGTTTGATAAAAGAACTTTACAAGTGACATTATTATTATTATTATTATTATTATTATTATTATTATTATTATTATTATATAGTTTTTGTTGAAGACATAATTAAATAAATAAAAACTCTTTTTAATAGCTTAAATTTGTAAGATTGATATGATCACACGTTTCAACAACTTTATATTTCAAGTGACATTATTTAGTAAAATCCAAGATTCCTCCCTTCTTCCCCTTGTTTTTTTGGAGGCTGGTGCCACAGGGTTTTTTTTTGGACTCCAACTGACATAGAATTTGTTCGTGTTGTTGCTTTCGCACTAGTTACCGCCTTCTCCAACATTTTCGAAATTTCCCAGGGGCAGTAAAATAGTTAAAAGAAAGAGTTAACTATTCATATTATTCACTAAAAAATGGGTTAGATAATGAACTTTTTAAAAACGGGTCAAATATGGATAAGAACCATATTATCCATTTAGAAAATGGGTAACCAATGGATAACCAATGGGTCTAACTTTTACATTTCTAAAGCCTCAAATTGGGAGTTCCTCAAGTTAGGGAGACTAAGAATTCTCCCAAAAGTGATCATATGCAAGAAGTCGCGGATAATATGGGGTTAACCCGTCTTTTATCCTTATTAAATATGGGTCAAGACGGATAATTTATCTTTTTTTTGTTATTCATTTTCGACCCGAACCATATCCTACCCGACCCGTCTGTTTGTCACTCCTAAAATTACCTAATAGTACCACTTAGAACCCCAAAGCACTGAGTTTGAAGTGTTGTCTTCTCAATGTGTGAACAAAATTTCGAACATGTTTTAAATTTGACACATAAGTTTCAACATTACTGTTGACTACTACATACCCATCTAGGTAGATCTAACAAACGAATATATTCTGGTGCACACTTTATTAAATAAAAAATATAGTCACTCATATTTGCTCAACCAATATAACATATGAATTGTGAGGAAAAATATATCATTAACAAAGCGCGCAGCGCAAACACCACGCAAGATATAACTATTTGTTTTTTTTTTTCCATTGCTTTATAAGTTCTCTTAGAGGAAACAATACGCATATTATTACTTCTGAGATGCAGAAAATGATCATACGGGCAAGAAAAGACGCCAAAACAGACTAAAATATTGGACCATTAGTCATACCCTAAACACCAAATACCCACAAAAGTAAGCCGTTTGGTTGAGAGACAAGTTATGCAAGAATGCATAATACAGAAATTGCAATATGACGATTAATAATAATATAGGTATTGTAATGTAAAAATTATGCATGAATTAAAATATGCATTGTTTATTTCTATTTTATTTTTAAAAATTTATCTAATACATGAAGCTTATTTTGGTCTTTTCTATTTGTTTTAATACATGTATTACTAAGTATGTGTTCTTATTCTATCTTCTATCCCTCATTATAAATTAATACATAAATTTCTGCATCGTTTAAGCATGTATTATTTTGCGGCAATAAAAATAACAGCAAAACAATGTATTATAAAACTGAATCTTATGCCAGTATCAAATATCAAAAAGATAAAATACTGCATTGTTAAAGTTCAGTTTTATGCAAGTATATTATAATACCTTCTACATGCAACCAAATGAGCCTATAGTTCCATCTCAATATTAATACTAATTCCAATATCGGCCCCTTTATCTCTTATTATTATATTTAAGTTACATTCACAGATAGTGTAGACTATTTATACACTACCACTGTAGTGTAACCTATTATAGCAAGTATCTTATCAATTTCTTCGTATTACTGACCTGATTCATATATAAACATTTTTTAGGGGAAAAGACCAAATTTACTCCTCTATTTTCGAATATCGTCTATATCTAATTTCCGTTATACTATTTGGTCAAATTTATCCCTATCGTTATACTATCTGGCTAAATTTATCCCTACCATCAATAAACTTTTAAAAATTACCCCTTAATCCCTCAAGTGACCGAATCACCCAAATCATTTTAATTAAGTCACTTATTCTTCTTCTTGATTCACTATTTTCGAATAATGGGCATTTGCTTGCTTTCTTAATTGGAAAAAATAAATAAGAGAAGCGGTTAGTAAATAAAGTATAGTAAATTGAAGAATCTAAATTAGGTAATTTGTCTAAATTCCAAAAATATTTACAACACCCCAATTATAATGAATTCGTTGCACCAAAGGTATGGAGACTTTGCAAGTTAGTGATTCAACTTTGTTTTAATCAAATGCCTATGCATTGTGCACTCTAAAGTTAGTCGATCGAACTCTATATTAATCAAACAATAACAAAATATATTCGAATATACATGTACATATATGATAATCAGTTGCATACAATACACAATAAATAGACTCACTAAATTCTACTGTATGTATATGGTTGAAAAATAAATAAAATTTTAAACCAATTTCAAACCCACTATCACAAGAAGAGAAGTGGGTGCAATGGTAATTAAAATTATCTATGAATAATTTGTATAGTCTAGTACCTTTAGCATTCACATCAATAGCAATTTCTGAAAATAGTAGAGGAAGAAGAACAATAAGTGATTTAAATTAAAGGAAACTGAGAGATTTTGGATTACCTAACAGATCAAAGGGTAACTTTTAAAAGTTTGCTGATATAAGGGTAAATTTGATTAGATAATATAACGGTAGAGATAAATTTGACCGAATAGTATAACAGAGGTTAAATGTTGATAATATCCGAAAGTAGATGGCTATATTTCGCACTTTTCCCTATTTTTTGTGTGTTATCAATAAGTAAAACTTATACTATATTTTTTCTTATATAAGAAAACAAAGTAAACTTATTTTTTTTCCTTATATTAGCAAATAAAATTATATTTGTGTGACCTAGTCACAGGCTCGAGTCGTGGAAGCATGCATCAGTGCATTCTTCGCCCGAATGCCCTTCTTTATATATTAGAAAACAAAGTTTAAAAAATCTTGGCCTTCCAATGTTGTCACAGCACCACCTCTGTTATTTTTCTATTTCCTTTTTCCTTTTTTGGGGTTTTCTGGGGGATGGTGATAGTTAAAGTTGTCCTATAAAAGGATGGGTAGTGTCTGTGCATTTAACAACAAACAACTGCCCCTACCTCTTAACTCAACTCCTCTTTCTCTCAACTCTTCTTCCTCTTCCAAATTCTTGAAACAACCACAATTTCCACCGCTTCTAACTCAGTATATTTTTGTTATAAACTGTGTTTTTGTAGAATATGGGATTAAGTTCAAACAGGGTAGAAGATTTATCAGGCCATGCATGCAATGAAACAATTGTCACAATCTCTACTACTACTACTACTACAGAATTACAAATATCAAGTAATCCACCATTTGAAGTACACAGAGTTTGCTTACCACCACACAAAACCACCCTTCAAAAACTTAGGCAAAGGTTGTTGGAAGTATTTTTCCCAGATGATCCACTGCACAAATTCAAGAACCAAACATGGTTAATGAAGTTGGTTTTGGGTCTTCAGTTTTTCTTCCCTGTTTTTGAGTGGGGTCCTCAGTATAATCTTAAACTACTAAGGGCTGATATAATTTCTGGGCTCACAATTGCTAGCCTTGCTATCCCACAAGGAATTAGCTATGCAAAACTTGCTAATTTGCCACCTATTGTTGGCTTATGTAAGTAAATAACCACACTTGTCATTTTCTTCTTTAAAATCTAATTTGCTTTTGATCCCTTAATTTTAGAATATGAATTTGATTTTTAAGTGATAGAATTGTTCGTTTTTATCATTTACTAACAATTTTTTGTCAGTTGTATTGGAATGAAATGGGGCAGAATAGAGCTGAATTGATGTAAAATACATATAGCCAACTCCAACTCGTTTGGGGTTGAAGCATAATTATTGAATAAGGTTTTTTCCATAGTTAAAACCAGTTGTTAATTAATCAATATTTGATAATTAATTTTAATTCTTAAGTTTAAAAATCGGTTAAGATTATGAAAATTTATCTGGGGTCTACTGGTCTATTCATTGAAGGCAGAGGTGCATGCAAGATTATAAGATCAGTGGATATGAATATTGTTGTCTTTTGTGAATTGCGACATGCAGTTTCAGACTTCCTATAAATACATAATTTCTAGAAATTTCCGCATATATATGTAATTTGAGTAAAAAATGATGCACCCGCTGTTTGTAAAGTATACAGTCTATGTTGAAGAGTAAATGTGTGCTTAATCGAATACGGTACTTTACTTATTTTGTAAATAAAAATCACACTATATTCAATATAGTTATTTACTAATCTAAGAGTGGAAATATTAATGGATATGATGATGCAGATTCAAGCTTTGTGCCACCATTGATCTATTCAGTTTTGGGGAGTTCGAAACACTTAGCAGTTGGTCCGGTCTCGATAGCTTCACTTGTTATGGGCACAATGCTGAGTGAAGCAGTTTCTTACACTGAAGAGCCTGTTCTTTACCTTCAGTTGGCTTTTACAGCTACCCTTTTTGCCGGACTGTTTCAGGCTTCACTAGGGTTTTTCAGGTATTAATTCTCTTGAAGCAAGAAACACTTACACAATTAGGTCACTTAAAAGGTAGTTAATATACTGCCATTAACTCTGGATAACCTGGAATAAATTATAAGTAACCTTCTATGAAATGTTAAATTACATTGACCCTGTCAGTTGATATAACTTAAGTCCATATGTTAGTCGTTCTCATCCACTTGAAAATTGGTGCAAAAGTTGTTAAGTCGACTTTCTAATGGACTCGTTATTATTTATTCAACTAAAAAGAGAGGAATAATTTATAATTCTAGCATAACATTCCCCATTCCACCATCAAAGTTACCGTTAATTAAGTAATGGACTACAGTAGCTAAGTGGAAACAAACTTTTGGAAAGATATCCCAAAAGAATCATTTAGAAACATTGGGCACTTCCACTAAAAACAGCAAGAAAACAGAGAAGAAACATGGAAAGGGACAGAGGATTTTTACGCGCCATATAAAACTGGACTCTAGATTTTTATGCACAATATGAAACTAACAAATATAGCTGGTGAAAAAGAAAAAGATTTCAAGGTTGACATAATGACTTTTGTTACTCTTATTTTGTTTGATCACTCCCAAAGCTTTCGACTTTACAATTCTAATGTTTATGTAATAACTTGACCAAGAGTATGCATCTCTGTCTTTAGCCATATAACCACAGTGTTAAACTTTTAAAGATGTCACATGACCCATAAGTCAAGAGAGAATTTGAATTTTGCATAGCATTCAAATGCTTACATTTCCGGACTATCCTTCTTGGCCACACTTGATCGCTATTATTGACTTTTATGTATCAATATTGCGTTACTTCTAAATTAGTTGGGTCGGCTATATTAATCCTGTATACCCACTCCATTTTATGCGAGTCCATTTCATTCTATCTTTATGTTTTTAAGTAATCTAAGGTCCTCAAAGATTTACTTTCAAGAATTAAAACTTTTTGCCATGTGTTTATATTTATTTTAGAGCTCGGTTAGTTCAAATGTCAAGCGACTTAAAGTTTATGGTTTGCAGGTTAGGATTTATCATTGATTTTCTGTCGAAGGCGACTTTGGTTGGCTTCATGGCTGGTGCAGCAGTCATTGTTTCATTGCAACAACTGAAAGGGTTGTTAGGGATAGTCCACTTCACAAGCCAGATGCAAATAATTCCTGTTTTGTCTTCTGTTTTCCAGCACAAAGATGAAGTAAGAAAAGCTTCTTTTTCAATATTGAACTCCTCTAAGATATAAGATTGTGGAAAAATTAACTATGTTTGTGCACTGATGCAAATCATTATTTAGTAATTTAACTCTTCTATATCTCTACCTTACCCGGTAGGGGTAAGGTCTTTATATGCACTACCCTCCCCAAACTCCACATGTGGGATTAGACTGGGTCTTTTGTTGTTGTTGTTGTTGTAACTCTTCTATATCTATTTGCAGTGGTCTTGGCAAACCATTGTTATGGGTGTCTGTTTTCTCGCCTTCCTACTGACCACTCGGCAAATTGTAAGTGTTTGGTTTATTTCAGAACATAATATTCTGACTAATATTCATCTCTGTGTTCATTTTCTAACTAAAGATTTGAATTTTCTGCTGTGATTACAGAGCACCAGGAACCCAAAACTTTTCTGGCTTTCAGCAGCATCTCCGTTGGCCTCGGTTATTCTCTCAACTCTGGTAGTCGCGCTCCTTAAGTCGAATGCTCATGGCATTCAAACTGTAAGTAAAATTCATCAGCTTTACCTCCATTCGTAGTTTTTAGCTATGTTGCTCGGACTCTCCGAAAATGTCGTCGGGTGTATGTTGGATCCTCCAAAATTAGTGTATTTTTAAAGGATCCAACACGGGTGTGGCAGTATTTTGGAGAGTCCGCCAACATAGGTTTTTTGACAGAATAAAACTGAAAATATCTTTGGTTTATTGCAGATTGGACACCTGCAAAAGGGTCTAAATCCACCCTCATTGAACATGTTATATCTAAGTGGTCCTTATCTGCCTCTTGCCATCAAAACTGGCATTGTTTCCGGAATCTTAGCGCTAACAGTAAGTCACTTGAGACTATTACAAGCAATTGGCCGTAGAAATATAAAGAAGCGCTTTGGGTTTGACATTTTCATTGACCTGCAGGAAGGGATTGCAGTAGGAAGAACATTTGCTGCTTTAAGGAATTACCAAATTGACGGCAACAAAGAAATGATGGCGATTGGACTTATGAACATGGCTGGCTCTTGTTCTTCGTGCTATGTTACAACAGGTACCCGCCTCATTGGCCTGTTTTTCCCGATAAGTAAGATTAACTCTTTTTTTAACCAGCTAATATTTGATTTACAGGGTCATTTTCTCGATCAGCAGTAAATTACAACGCTGGGGCACAAACAGTCTTTTCAAACATAATAATGGCAACAGCTGTGCTAATCACTTTGTTATTTCTAATGCCACTGTTCTATTACACCCCCATTGTCATCTTGGCTGCAATTATTATAACAGCA